TTAATTTTCAATTTTCACCGCCTTCATCATCTCATTAATTATTCATAATGTGTCCAACAAAAATACACATAATGAGTTAATTTTTATTTCATGTACGTGTACAAGAGTGAAATCATCACTCTCTACGCCTTCATTATATTTCTCTCTCTCTCTCTGAAATATATATATATATATATATATATATATATAAAGTTATGAGCTTAGCAACAATTAATAATCATGTTGTTTCTGTTGTCAATGTTATTTTCATTGTTATTTATTACTGTAATCTCGTGTTTATCAATGAATTTATGTAAATATTTGTGCAAACTGATGTAATTTATTTTTGTTTAAAGGAGAACATTGTCAATATCACAAACATAAATAACCTTTTGACCTTATAAACTTGAGGATATTATTTCGATATAAATAATTTTTCAGATTATCATTTATGAGGTTATGCCTTAAAACTATTCGAAATTAGGCTTTTTTTGTGATTGACAGATCAAATTTTATGAAGATTTAAAATTTATGCATATAAAATCAAAGTTATCCACATCACCTAGATATGTTTAGATGAACAGTTTACAAAGATTATTAACGACAACTGATCAATAGTAACTAGCTATTCATTCTGTTTTAAATATGAAATCAATCAACTGATTAGTAATCACTTAGATACTTAGGCCTGTTACCACTTGTAGTGGGGTATAGGCAACCCATCAGCATTCTACATCCAACTCTATCCTGTACAATGCTTTCCAGTTGCTATTCATCCTTTTCATGTCTACTTTCAATGTTCTATGAAGTGTGTTATTCGGCCTTCCTCTTGATCTAATTAATTCTAGTAGAAAACCCAAGATATATTCATCTGCTTATCGTTCATATTATGTAGTTCAAAGCAATACAATCAAACTGTTCTACTGAACAGTTGATATTCCAAATTGGTTGGAATTAAAAAATGGAAACCAGCTCACTATACATTTCTTCTTAAATTTTTGCTGTATATATGATATCCCCTAGTTTGGTAAACTGTAACAACTCGAAAGTTATTTCACCAAAATAAAGGCCTAAAGGAGTGCATTGTACTATTTAATAAATAGAATCAAATATGATGTTTATATTGCTATCACCTTGTTTGCATAGTGTATACATTTTTCTAAACTTTACTGAGTTCACACTGTATGGATCCATGGTGTAAAAACATTTAAGTGATCAATTATTCAATAATTTCCTTACGATTATCAATTTATAATAAAAACTCTATACAATTTAATTTATAAATCTCACTTCCCAACAAGTTTAACTAAATAATTAATCTAATTAACATTTACTGAATCATCACTTATTTTTTGTATAACAGGAAATGAATTAATGAAAAGCAACTTCAATCTCCTAGTTCCCTAATTCAGAGTTAGCGGTGGGCATTAAATATATATAATCACTTCCTGTATATTTTACAATAATTTAAAACATATACACAGAATTTATTGTATTAAAATGTACTTGGAATACATTAACTATAGTAAAACAACATAGAAAAGAAAAAAAACGATTCTACAGATGTACTTAATCAACATACTGTAGTAGAAGTAGTAATAGTAATGGTAATATTAATAATAATAGTAATAATAATAATAATACTTATACAGAACTACACATAAACATTTCATTTAATATTCAGTCTAAATAATTATCACTTTGTATTGATAAAAAAAATTATTTTTTTTTTATTCAGATGTTAACTGACATTTTATTTGATTGTCTATAACCGGATATAACTAACTGATGAATCTCTGTTCTTTTTATTTTTTTATAAATATAAACGGTCTTTTATTCACATAGAAAATAGTAATGATAAAAATGATGAAAATTTTCCTTAAAACTGAACTTAACCATAATTAATTGTAACTGTCTATTTTGATTTACCTCTTGTAAATAAATATAAATTAAACAAACAGAACAAAATACATCATAGTTGCAAATAAAATCAAGAAAGAAATGTTTCACAAACCATGGGAACAACATAGTATTGTATTTAATGTTTGTTTGTTTTTATAAATGAGGATCTATTTTAATTAGTTTGATGTATATTAAGAGGAAACGATGTAGTTTCTTTGCATTTTTAGTGGGTTAGTTATACAAATATTGATGTAAACAAAAATGTATTGTTCATATATATATATATATATATAAACACGTGTATCTGACTTGCTAGTGTATATATGAAGTAAATAGATGTGAATATTTAAGATTAAGGGTAGAAGGACAATTCTTTCTTAAGACAAACAGAAGTTCAAATAAATTGTCAGCATACAAATTATAAACAAATTATACCGTTGAATGTTTATAGGAAGGTTATAAATATTTTAAATGTGATCCCATAGTATAATCCATATTATATGAAGAGTTGTAATTCAAAGGAATTTTTTAATTGGCTGGAAAGCCTACACAAGTAGATCAAATTCAATATACTCAGATTTCATAGTCAGTATGATTTCTTTAGGATATTGAATTGGAAATCAATGATTCAGTGAAGAGTTTACTTTCCAGTGAATCCATTCTCATATACGTATGATCCCAAATATACATATTTGTAACAAAATGATAATATCATGTTTGACAGTAACAATAATTTACTGAATATCAAAATAAAGAAAAGTAATTTCATTCTAATTCAGAAATTGAAAGTATACTTTATAGGATCATGAACACTCATCAAGGATATGATAATATTTAACTAATAATCAATAATATACGTCAGTCATGATGTATGCTACTTCCAATTCAGTAAAATAAGACCCAGACCAATGTAATTTGATGCTGTAAAATTGATATAGCCACATGATAACAAACTGCGATTGATAAACACACTAACACATGTGAATGAACCAAGTTTACTCAACACAGATTATGATAGATTATATATTACACAATATTAGAAATGCTATACACGAATGTTCACGAACAAAGTCATTAAACTTAAACAATTCGAGATGTATATCATTCCATTCAATAAAAACTACCTTGATCCTCTACTAAATAATACTGATTAAGTAGTTATCAAGCCCTGGATTGGTTTTCCTATAATCAGACGCATAAAAAGCTTCTACAACCTTTAAAATTTAGTAAAATATTTATATATTTTCTATTAATTATCTCGAATTTCCCAAAAAATCTATCTCTAGCACATCAATGAAGTATTCAAAGTTTCACTGTACATCATCTGCTGGATGTCATAAACCAAAAATTAGTCAATCATCAGCATATTTCAGCCCCATTTAACCTGGTACTATGTTAAGCCCAGATAGGCTATTCTAGCTTCTTGACAGAGCAATTTATTCAGTCTTCCCAACCACATTTTGATCATACACTTATTAACCCTGACTGTTTCCATGTGATCGTACGTGTGTTAATTGCTTGTCCTATTCATTAGGGCTTTGCTTTTGTTTGACTATAAATATCGAGTCACGCTTGATCAAAATGTGTTGGCTCACTCGCCTTCTCCAGTGCGTGTCGCTTGGTTTAGTCTTGTTTCACTTCTTTCAGTCATTCTCTCTGATTGTCTGTTCAGATCAATGATCGTATGGAATATACATATTCAAAATCTATTCTTGTATTTGGCTTATTTAATTCCTTTATTCACTAACGCGGTTTAAGTTGGTAATTATATACGAGAGTTGACAGAATTTATATTTCAACAACAATCATCATACGATTTAATTAGATTAAGATATAGGGCCACCAAATGTCAGATCGTGAACAAAAATGAAACGATCTGTTTCCAAATAAATTTATTAGCAAGCTTCCAACTAACTTAGTAACAGGAACCAGCTACTTCGTTAATTGCTTTTTAAACTCATTGATTTTAACATCTTTTTCAATCTGCTAAAGAACTTTTGTTACATTACGAAATAGAAGTATCCTCATTATTTCTAGAACTATCATTTTAATGTTAACGCCTCCGTCATATGAATCTTCAGGAACTGAGCAACCAGAAGATTAATTTGTCAACTTGGAGTAACCAAATTATACACGTCCGTTTTGTAAAATATCTTATAATATGCATTCTTCTGATAATTCTGAGAAACCATCCAAGCATGTTCTTGATGCGTTTTATCCCCTCTAAATAAAAAACATTAGATCGTAACTGATCCTCATCGACACGTAAACTAATGATAGGAAATGTAGTAGTTTAGTAGTTTAATCACTTATTAACTCTGGTGGGTTGGTATCCAACGAAATCTCTGCATATATTTAGAAATCTTGGTTGACCTTTGGCTACCTTGGAGTAGGTCAGATGTCCGTCACTCAAACAATGAGTATACTGCGTATCAACACATTGTGTTCTATTTGGTGTCTGTGAAATGTGGTTTTTAAAAATGGAGGTTTACTAATATCTGGTCAATTATGCCCAAGAGTGTTGGAACCACAGAGTAAGGAATGCCGCCGATAGATCCAAATCATTAGGCAAATGCGTAAAATCGGTTGATAAATTAATTAACCTTCAACGATTTATGTGATCGGGACATATTTTATGTATGTTTGATTACTGCCTATCTAGACATATCATGTATGCTAGTTTAGGACGAATGAGAGCAAATAGCAATAAAACCAAACCTCAGCATCAGTCTATGGGGTCACTGTTCAATTTAGCCATGTGAATGGTTGGGGAATATTTGTTTGGGATCAATGTGATTATCATCATTAATGGTTGGAGAAGTGTGATGACATCTCAGATTCATTCATTATTCTTGAAATTAAAGTCATACTTTTAATTCGACAAATATATTGTCTTCCCAAATCAATGCTATGTGTGTCTCATTTTTATACTAGCATTTACACTACCTATTGCAGTCCTTATTATGATAATTCAATCTGACTGCAGTAGTATGAAATTCTACATTTGTTAGGTTTCCAAATCTTGACGACTCATCAAAACTACCGAACTTCTTAAATCTCTGATAACAAACAAACAAGAATAACTTGTACCGATTATTTTAACCATTCAGTACATTTTCCAATCAACATATTCTGCTAAATGTTAGTAACTTAACATCAAAAAGTAATCAGAAACTGTGTAAAGAAAATCTTTTTTTCTTTATGCACATTAGGAAATTTTTATTTTTATCATTGAAACAAACGGAATGTAGTAGTTTTCATTAGAAAAAAATAACCCGGTAAAAAAACATTTAATAAAAAAAGAGGTTGTCAGGGTTAACGGTGTTGTTGTTGTTGTTGCTGTTATTGAAATGTCATGGTCACTTTACATTTGACTCATTATTTTATCTCGTTTATGATAGTCATTTATTGAGTAAAAATGGACAGAGAGAGAGAGAGAAAAAAATAGTTACAAATAAATTAATCAATAAAAAAGTAGAAAATAGATATTGCCTTATTTATTAAATACAAACAAATATGGAAAAATAATTATTATGTAGAAGTAAAAAAAATTAAGAAAATACATTTTTTTTCATACGCAGAAGAATAATGTTTGAAATAGCAAAATAGAAAAAAATTTTTTACATGATGACATAAATTTATTTACAATTTTAATAATTGAAGATGAATTCACCGGAATTGTTTATTCTTAATTATTTATTTAATGATGAAGTATTTAGAAGAAATTCTAGCTGGTAACAGAAGAATATTGAAATTGTAATGTTATAAATTTATTTTAATTAATTATAATTATTGTATAGTTTGTGTTGAATCTTTTATTTGTTCTTCTGGTAAAGATAAACTGATTTGATCTTTTATGGGGGAATATATTGAATCAATATTGTGTAATTTATTGATAGGTGAAGTAGACGGTTTTATATCATCTAAATTCACATTCTCATTCTCATTATAATATTCATTTTCAATTATAGTTTCATCAGTGAACATAGGTTGTTGTTGTTGTTCATAATTTTCAGGAATTGATTGAATTTCAGTTAAACTATTTGATCGAGTTAAATAATCTAAACTTTCGGATGATGTTAAATGTACAGTGATATTATCTCTTGGTGTAAATCCTGGATGTCCCATTTCCATATGTCGCATTAAATGATCTTTACGATAATATGCTTTAGAACAAACACGACACTCAAATGGTTTAAAACCAACATGTTTTAATGCATGACGTTGTAAATTTGATCGCTGTGTAAATTGAGCTTGACAAATGTGACATCTATAAGTGCCATGTTGTGATAATGTATGCTGCTCTAATGTATGTAATGACGGAAATTCTTCCTTACATTGATTACAAGGAAAACGACGACTGGTACTTTGACGTCTAATTGAAGTTAAACGTCCAGTTTGACCAACATTTGCACGTGTACGACGTCCTATCTTTACAGGTGTATTCGGTTCAGAATTAGGCTTTTGTTTGTCATCAAAATTATCACTGTATATTGTTTTATGATTATTTGAATCAAATTTTAACGAAGAATTTGATAATGCTTCACTATTTGATGATGTTGACATTTTCCATACAGCTTGAATTTGATTAAATGCAGCTAATTGTTTTTTATATGATTCTATAATATCTTGTTCACGATTTAAACAATGTAAATCGTATTGATCATGTAAATTAAAATATTGATAATGATGATTATCGTCAATTATATTGTTATTATTATTACTATAATTTAGCTTATCATTACTAATGCCAAGTGAATGTGATACATGAAAATCTTTTAAAGGTGTTATTGGTGCTGAATCGGCTAGAGAACCGCCATGTGATAAATCTAATACACCAGAATCAGATGATGGGCTTGTTGGACTTGATGTTGATAATAATGGACTCGTTGATTGATTTATATGTAATAAATTGAAATTATTATTGTTACTATTATTATCATAGCTACTATGGTTATCTTTTTCACACTGATCATTGTTACAATGATTATTGTACAGTATATCTGATGGATAACATTTACTAGGATTTAATGGTTTACGACGGGATGTTGTGGAGTGTTGGTTAAGTAATTTCTGATATATTGAATTATTGTTGTTATTATTATCTTCTTGTTTGAGATCATTAGAAAAATTGGATGATTTTGTCGGTAATTCATAAGTATCATTAAAATAAAGAGTGGTTGAGCTGTTGTTAGTACTATTAGTATTATTAGCAGTAGTATTAACATGGTTCGGATTTTCAGCATTATTGTCTATAGTATTCATCGATATTTCTAATCTACCTTTAATATGTAATTGTACATTATTTGGAAAACATTCAGCTAATGCATGACGTATAGCAAGTTGAAGTAATGGTGTACAAATAGGTAAAAGTTGTGAACCTATTGAATTTGTATTTGAACTGATCGCTCTGGTCAATGATGATGTTAATGAAAAATTTGTAAATGATGAATTATTTTCAGAATTCTTAGGTATTGATGTTATGTCTACCATAGGATCATTGATTTTATTATTGCGATTAGCAATTATCATTTCAAAAATTGGTATTTGAAGTGCATGTAAATTTAAAATATCAGAATTGTTTGGTATTAACTGATGATATTGATGATGTAAAGGTGTATTGTTACAATCATTTTGATGATGACGGTTATTTGGATTGAGAAAATTGTTGAAAATATACGGTAAATAATCATAATTGGGATCGTGTAAACCAAGGGTATTTAATAAAGTTGATTGTGATATTATAGGTGTTGTGAAATTGTCTGATGTAGAAAGACCATGATCAGATGATGATGACGATAAGACTGGTTGAGAAATCATGTTTAATTCTGTAATGAAAATAATAGATTATTATGAGTGAAAAGATATTTGGTATTTCTATCTTGCATCTTATGATTTTTCCTATCAAGTTGATGGGCTATAAAAAACTAAGAGGACATCTCAGGAGATCATTCTCAAAACTTTTAATAATAAAAATTCCTTGCAAATTAACTGAATAATTATACATGGAACCTTATTGTCGTTTTAGTTGAGAAATGAGTTCAATATCAAGCATGTACAATTCTGAATTATCAAACTAGGAAGGGAAATGGTGAAAAGTATTTTAAATTGAAGAAAATTACCTCTGGGAAGATAAACATATATCAATCTATTTATTAGCCATTCAATTAATAGTAGTTACTTTAAATAATCATGTCGACTGAATTCTAAAGTCTAAATTAAATTACCTCCATGAGACATACAATAATATTACAGCTCTTAAATTTGGTCTAATTCTTCTAAATGTCCTAACAGGAACTAATCATACAATATACCATAGGTTTTCATATTTCACGATGAAACAATCGAAGCATTAAAACTGACAATCAGTAATTTAGAGAACTACTAGTCAAAATTTTCTTAATAATAATAATGATGTCCTTCTCAATGCAACTTTCAAATAATATCACTGAAAACGTTTGAAAGTTTGTCTATGTTCATCGAAATAAAACAGTTCATAATATACGTCTCGGTTACAGGTTATATGCATTAAATGGTAACAGGAAATATGACATTTTAGAAACATTTTCATCAGTGGATTTTAAATAAATATTCTTATTCTCGCCAATGAATTACCAATTTTTCGAATAAGAACTAATAAGCATATGATGAAATACACGGATGACATTGGTATATTTCACGCAAACATCATATACTACTAGTTTACAAGTTTTGATTACGATTAATTTTAAACCAACTCGGATTTCTAAATACGATTGACTTAGCTTCAAAAAGGAAGTGACTTTGTTAAGTACCAGTACCTATGCTACGTACTGAGTAATATACACGACAGTGAAGAATCATGATTGAGTCGACAACGTAGGACCAGGGATGTATGCATATCAGACTACATTTTAATACACTGTAAGTGAAAATGAAATTTCTAACTATGGTAGAATTTCATAATTCTCTAGTGAATAAACAATGTTGTCTACTAATGTATTAACAAGTTTCAATTGACACATTAACTAAATATCTCTTTCCCATAGTAAAGCTTATACACCTGACCATGGTTATGATACTATAGCAATCTTATAGGTATATATTATATAAGAAATATATAAGAAAATTAGCATCAAAGAAATACATCATTACTTACCGTCAAACTATAGATAAGAGTAAATGGAAACTAGTTGACAGATTCTCGTGTATAAAAAATACTTTGTGAAGAATGTGATGTGAATAATATGGGAGGTTTAATTCATTCGTTTTTATACATCTCTTATTCAGTAAATGTCCATTAGCTGTCGTATTTAACCAATCAAATTTCAATGCGAGTTATTGACCCATTTTCATATATAATGGGTTGGTACACTGACATTTAATTGTTGTCTTAGCCACGTCATTTTAGACACACACACAAACAGCAAATTCGTAATCATCACTTTTACTCTCGATTCTAATATTAATATGACACCCCCTTCATTCAATTGATGAGCAGGTTTAGTTTAATCAATAGGAGGGACATGAAGTAGAAGTGACTGCTTATAAAAGTGAATACGCAATCTTATAAAAAGGTCAACTAGCCAATAAGGATAGAGTGATATGATATTTGGTGATAGTTTCAGCCAATTTGATTGCTAATTGATATATGAAGCATCATAAATAAAACTCATTAAGCTAATTGTAATTGGTAGGTAGGAACGATAGATGAGTCCCAGAGAAAAACTTTTAAACGCTGAGTATAATTTTGGTAATATATACCAGATAATAGCTGTTGTAGGGTCAAAAAAATATAATAATGTTTTGAAATTTGTAATAATGTGAGCAGTTGTAATCCACAGAAATAAATGTAGTCAAATAATCAATATAAGTTATTATCCCATAAATGCAAAGTTGAAACTAGTTACTTTGTATTAATTAGTAATAAATAGGAGAATTATATTGATCTGACTTCATCTTCACAAAACTCTCAGTATAAAACGGCCTAAAATAATTAATTAGTCTTCTGGTTTACATAATGCCATGAAATTGAACTTTTTCCGTTGTGTGTAATACCGTTATAAGCAATTTTCCAAGTTTTTTTGTTCAAATTCCGAGTAGGATTCCTTATTAATCAATATCATTTGATAGAGCATTAAAGACAGTATAATAATGTACTAATGTTTAGCTTCAGAATTCATATCAGCATATACCAGTGAGACATCACATAAGATTGATATTCAAGTGTGAGTGAATACAATATAATTGAATCATAAACAAGGACGAATAAGCTGTTAATTGTAGCTTTTTAGTGTTTATTATGGTGATAAAACACAATGTACCTGTTTGATTTAACATTTTCCTGGAAATATTTATTTTAGAATATATAATCTGTTATGTGCTTCGATGTATAAAAAACAATATAAAACTGCTAATGGTATCTTATCTAGATTCATATAAAATTCAGCATAAAATTGTTTATACATGCCGATTCTAATGTTGACAATGAAATAACTAACGTTAGTTAGTTTTTACAATAAATCTCTACCTAGAAATATCTGCACATAGAAAATCAACTTGGAATGATCAATGTAGGGATTTTCTTAGCCGGGTGCCACTGATCAGGAAAAAAACTTGATTCAATCTTTATCTTCTCTGAATAGATAAGTATGTAGTGACGGCACAATCAACGATGAACTATTAAAACTCCCCCAAGTACTAGCTAAAGATGTCTACCTTGTTATATATAATGACATTTACTTAAAATCTGTACTACGACCTGGGAAATGCTTTTCGAAATGAAAAGAAAAAGTGTTGAGTACATCCTAAAAAACAGAATCTCAACACTTCAGAGAAAAATCTTCTAACTTCCAAAGTTTCGTATTGTTTTTTCGCCAAGCCTATCATTTATGGATGCGTTAAGGATGAATCAACATGTATTCATAAGTTTACAGCCTTTTTCGATTACGTCAGCCGAGCAAATTGATTATTACTTGGTTTATCTTTCAAAAAGTGACTTAAAAATAACCAACAACCTCATAAATGTTGACCACTGTAAATATCATTATGAATAATGTACTCATTCAAATGAGTTAGCTCGAAGGAGCATGACAAAAATATGTGAGCACTGAAGTAGCTTTAACTTTCTAGTTCAAACCTGACCTGTCCATGCAAATCAATACCTGAAATCTCTCACTTTCGTATAACCCTAAAAACTCTGGTTGATTTTTGATATAGATATTACATTCTAATCAGTAATTAATTATTGATTCTGTCTTCGGAATTATAATCATTATCATCTGGAAGCTTTTCATTCCTTCTTAATATCTATCAATTGGACAATTGTCTTGAATTTTCCTGATCCGCAAATCATTTTTATCTTATTTTTATAAGATTTAGATTATTGCATAACCTTCTTATGATACTTGAGATCTGTGGACACTTTATAATGCATTCATTGCTCATTGTTGAGTAGACCCATACTAGGACGAAACAATTATCCAGTGCTTTCTGATTTTCAATGGTTATTCAGCTCAAATCGGTCCGTAATGCAAACTATGAAAATAAGTCTGAATTAAACTAAATCACCACTTGACTATATTCAATATAATGTAACTCCACCTAAATAATGGTCTTAATATTAATCAGGTTTTATAATGAGGCATAATTTTCAAACATATGAATTGATAGAATGAACACTAGTGTATTTTTGGTGAGACGATAATTAATGGTAATTAAGTGACCCTGAGAATGTCCACCTACAAACTAAGACTAAATGAGGGTCATAAAGCAATGTGAGGAATTAGGATTATGACTTACAATTAATGGTTAGATTTAGGAACTAGATTTAAGGTTTCCATCACAAACTGACGTAAGCTAAAATGCCGCAATACTATTTAGCCAAATAGATGAAAATCCAAGACCCGATATGTTACATATGAATCATTCGTCCATAAATCATAGGCTCAGCGTATTTTTTATTGTTGAATCTAGTTTAGAGAATTTTTTTCTCTTATTCCTCATCATGCGATTATTGAGCATTTTTTGCTTATTATATATTTTGAAATTTGAAGTCGATTGAATTTTTAGAAATAATAGCGACTAGATAACAATCTGTTTCATAACTTTGAGTGATCATTGAAATATTGGCCGAATTCATATTTATCTTGTTTACTAGTTAATGTATAATAAGTTTTATGGAGAATGTCTCAAGTCAGTCTGCTTCCCATGTCAGTTTGTAGAATCTTTGCGTTCATGTAAGATTCCACCATCGCTTCAAACCTCATGTGCGTCACCAAATCGCGCAATGAATCAACGAAATTACAAATTACATGACTAAGGACTGAGGCCAGTGCTTTTGACAAAATAATAAGGTGATGATTTTACGACCGCATAAATGTTCAGGTGTCGTCTTAATGAATGCAGCTGTTTATGTCACGAAGATAAAACTAATCCTAGACGACCAACTAAGATTCAAGGTAGATAAATCCAAAAAAGATTCAACTGATTCAACAGAAAAACAAATCACAGGCATGCGTAGAGAACTTCTAAAAAGGAAAATGTCTGTTAATTCTACTTATAATGATCTAAGACGACGTAGCTCACGTCTACCTCATATACATGGTTTACCAATAGTTCACAAAGATGACGTGTCCCTTAGACCTATTCTATCAATGAACAACTGACCGTATCACAAAGTTGCATGCTGACTAGCAGAAAAACTAGAACCGGTCCGTCGGAGATTAGCAACTTATACGTTAAGAGATTCATTCCAGTTTGCTGATAGACTAAATCATACGAATGTTGCCGATAAGTTCATGGTTTCTTTTGATGTAACATCCTTGTTCACCAGGATACCA